AAAGAGGCACTGTGATACAGTCAGTACAGATTTCATTATTCTGGTCAAGTTCAATTTGATGCTTGACATGCAGGCACTCTTTATAAAGGTCAACAGGATTAGTAAAGCTTCAACGAAGGTTAGCAAGAGCTAACTCTTTACAAAAATCTGGATGGCTAGTATCGAAGAATTGGTCAAAAGTTGCTTGTAACTAAGACTCTTCATCCTCAGTTAGTAGGTCCTGTTCAGCATGAAGGATGAGATTTATTTCATCATCATTCCATGACTAGTTGGTTCAGTTAGTCATAAGAGGTTCTAATGCTTCAGTTATATCTTAGTCACTTTCTTGCAAATAGATCTTTGCAAGTCGGAAGATACACGTCTGATTCATTTCATATTGGGATCTGGCACTTCTGGTGGAAGTGGTGTAATGTTGAATCTGGGTTCAGAGGTTGCAGTTATAGTTGTAGAGAACATCTTGGATAGCTTTGTATATATATATATGTTTAAGGTTGCAGAACCAAAGAGCTTCAGTGATACTCTTGATGTTATACATTCTAGATTGGGCATCAGAGTGCTGTCAAATCTTGCAGGTGACAAGAGTTCTTTGGCCTTCACCTTTGGTATAGAAATAGAAATGGATACTTCTAGGGTCATTTCGATCCAAATTATGGTGGAAATCGACATAGCATGCATGGCATACTAATTGGTTATCAAGTACTTTGAGGCATTCTGATCTTTCTGAGTTCTTGCATCGGCAACAATGATGGGTCCATTTGTTGTTGTGATAGTAGGCTTTCTGGGCAGCTATCTCGTTAGGATCACAGCCACACTGATATATCTTGTTCTGTCTTCGTAGAGAACCATAGGAGCAATCTACGGCAATATGTCCGAATTCATCACATTCATAACATTTATTATTAGGGCAGCTTCGGTAGAGGTGGTCTTGTCTGCAGGTTCGGCAAGAAGTTCATCATGGAGCTTGTAAAGGGCAATGTACTGCAATATGTCCAATTCTTTTGCAACGGTTGCAGCAGTTGGTAGAACATTCAGCAAAGAAATGGGCAGGTGAACCACAATTTCTACATATTCGAGAAAGAGTTTGAGTACGACGACGAGGTTGATAAATGGTCCAGTTAATTAGGGTTGTTGTCTGTGTCTAGGTTGAGGTTGATGTCAAATGCATAAGCTTCTTTAGAAGTTAGATATTCTTGGTCATATAGATCTAACTCTTATGAGTTGGTTATGGTAGGTTGGGCAGATAGTGGTTGATCATTCTCGTAGGTAGTAGGAGTATAATACTTGCGATTCTTCTACTTAAAGGAGTAACAACTATTCTTCCAATTGTAACTGGCTTCAACTTTCTTGGACTAGTTGTTTCTAAGAAGTAAGGCATAAGAAGTAGTGATAACTACTTCAACAATAATAGGGATGGTTGCTCCTTCGATCTGAATAGACAAATCTTGAATAATTTCTAGAGGTCGAGAGGAAGTTCTAGTAGCAGAGATGATAAAGCTAGTTGAGGCTTGTTCGATTTTAAGTCCTAGTTCTTGGACTACTTTATAAGCAATCATACTAATAGATGCTCCGCTATCTATAATAGCTTGGTAGGGTTTGTTTCTAATTTTGATATTGTATTTGATAGGAGTGGTAGTTGGCTCAGGAGTGGTAACAAGAGATTTTGCCTCTTGACTTAAGTGGGCAGAATGAGCGCTTCGGATGGAGGGGTAATAGGGTTATTTTGGGAGTTCTGGCACAATTTTCATTACCCATATCCATCTTGCATATAATTTAACATTTGCGTCGTCAGTTTAATAAAAATTATCTAGAACACATTTATTTACCCAAATTCATATCAAAAAGGATATCATTTTGACATAGTGGGTATAAATTTGCATTTGTGTCGTCACTCAAATGATGATAAATTTGTGTTTGTATCGTCATTCTAGCTCAGTGATATTATTTTTTGTATATCTAGAATGCAATATTCTGCTTAAATTTATATCAAAAAGATAACAATTATTTATGCTATCTTGTTTGCTATCATTTAGGCATCAAAAATCTCAATCAGTATACCAATATTGTTGTATATCTAGAACATATTCTTTTACCTAAATTCATATCAAAAAGGATACAAATATTATTTGTTATAGTAGAATTAATTCTAAAGATGATTCTTCACTACTTTCTGGCACAAAAAAATGTGACCCATATATACCAAAAGGGTAACAAAAAATATATATATATATAACAAAGGGTAACAAAAAATATAACTATATATACCAAAAGGTAACAAAATTTCAATAAGGGTCACAAAATTTCGTATTATATATTAAAAGTTAGGATGCAAAGCATCCCTACTTCGCAGACAAAATATGGGCCAAGTTTTTTCACTTATCTAAGATCTATTTTAAAAGCCTTAGCACGTAATCTATCATAGTACTGGACCACATAGTACCCCTGAATATGTAAAGGGCAATGGCCAGAAGTAGAACCAGTTGGCTTTTCACAATCAGTACAAGGTACTCTTCTTTTAGCTTTCCAATGATAACTACATTCTTTAGGACGCATGCAGGGTCTTCCACAAATTTCACTAGAATTATGATAAAAAGAACAAGTATATTCACCAATCATTTTTATATATACTGAAATATTTATTTAAAGAAAAGATTTTATAAAGTATTATATACAAAACTTTAGTTAATCAAAACATATTATATATTTAAATGTCATCTACTAATAAAAACATCGATCAGTTATCCAATGAGGCCAAATCCTCAACTGAAAATCAATTAATGCCTAAATGGCAAGATGTTGCTAAAGTTATCAAAGAAATAGTTATAGTAGCAGATTATTGTGGAAAACCTAGAGATGGAAAATTTATACAAGGCTATAAAAAGCAATACAGGAATTTATTTGAATACGCAAAAAATAGATTCCCAAATAAAAAAAAATATATGGAAATGAAGGAGCAATACAAACAATGGTATAGATTCGAACCTAGACTATTAAAAGCTATTGAAGATCTTAATTGTTTATATTACAAGTTAGCAAAACCACATTTCAAAGATTTAACTAAAATTCGAAGTGAAATTGGTAACTTCCTTGATAATAATGAAATTGATAATATAGATAAATTTCTATCAGAAAATTAATAACAAATACCAACTTGAAATATTCCACGAGTATTTTCAACTTGCAAGTACCCATTGAGGAGGTAATTCTGTATTAGAAGGAATAATTAAAAGCTCTTCTATAACAAAAGATCGCTTTGGTCCATTGCCTTCATCATCTTCGAGCCAATATAAGATAGGCTGATTTTTTTGCACCAAAGATTCACAAATATGATAAACTTGAGGCGACCAATTGCAATCAGTCGATCTTTTACTTCCACCTTCTAGCTCACCAGGTTTAAGTAAATATCTTACAGGGGTATTATAAGATAGCTTGGATTCATCAAAGCCCATAGATCCATTGCGTAATTTAGAAGATGATGAAATAATCTTTTTCATTTTTATAGCTTTAGCAGGGGCCATGCCAATTAATCTAGTTACCGAATTATTAAGATTATCAATAATTATATAAAGATTTTTAACCCAAGCCCTCGATCTCTTAGATATAGGCAATAATAAATCAGAAGCATCTTGCATCGAAACAATTTTTCTGCTAAAGTACGATTAAATCTTTCAACAATAGCCTGGCTTCTATGTGATGTGCCAATCTTAATTTTGACGTTATATTTTTCCATTAATTCTTTGCAATCAGATTTAAATTCTGAACCAGGATCAACCATTAATAATTTAGGCCAAATAAGAGGGCACTTAAAATTACTATAAACTTTTTTAAAAGCTTTAGCCACACTACTAGATGTCTTATCTGTTAAAGGAACTGCCCACTTATATCTTGAAGCAACGTCAACTATATATAAACAATATTTATATATTTTGTTATTAATCATATCATGAGGCATATAAAGAATATCAGCTTGATGGCATTCATTAGGAATCTGTATACTATTAAATGAAGCTCTAGGAATAAATCTTGGCCGAGACTTATGAATTTGAAATAAAGCTTGTTTTTCAAGCCAATTACGTACTTCATCTTCAACAAAGTTGAACCTAGCCTTTAGAGAAGCTTTATACAATTTTTTTGCAGTTCTTTGATAGCCATTAGGTTGATAATAAATCTTACGCAAAGCAATAGATATATCTAATTCATGAGCTTTTTCTGAATCTACATGAATAATAGGAATAGATAACATCTTTTCTTATTATAGTTTAAAAAAAGATGGCATTGCTAGAAAATATATCGTAGAATTAATCAATTTAAAAGCGATTTATTAACAATACAAGATCAAGTCTGCAAATTACAGCAGGATCTAGTTTTAAAAGAAGATTATATTAAATATCTCGAAAAAGAAATCTTAATTCGAGATGAGGATCTAGACCCATTGCGATTAGAAATATCTAATCTTAAAGAACAGTTAGAAAAGATGCTTCAAAATTCTATAAACCAAGAGAATTATATAGATTATTTAGAAAAACGATTAGCAATTTTTCAAGATGAAATAGACAAGCTTAATGAAAAAATATTTGTTTTATATAAAAATTCCAATGATACTATAGAAATGGTGCAACCACCAGGATCCTCCCGAACATTATCTCTTCCTGAAAATCAAGCCACAATCCAGAAATGTAGAATTACACGAGAGGCTAATAGCATTAGAGAATATTTTGAAAGCCCAATTACAATAGCACCTTCATTAGATGATATTAATGAAAATCTTGATATAATTTCTGATGCCGGAGAAAGGTTTGAAAGATTGGTGCTACAAATATATCCACGAGCAAATGCTCGAGCAATTAATGCAGAAAATCGAGTAGCAAATTTGCAGAACCAGCTAATAACTTTGCAAACCCAGTTAACCAATTCCCAGACCCAGTTTGCCGATTCACAAACCCAGTTAGCTATGCTTCAAAATGACTATGATCTTCTTCATCAGGCTTATGAGGCCCACAGAACACAACATAATATATTTAAATCTCGAGAGCTTGATGGTCGAATTACAATCCATATGCAAAAAAAAACAAATATCAAAATTGCTTCTAGAAAAATTTGTATTGAGATTCAAAAATAGACGAACCTATCAGCAAATACAAGAAAATAAGATGGATGAGGCAATTACTATACATCTCTTAAATCTTACAACAAAACAATACACCAAATGGAAAAATAAATGCAAGACTCTAGAAAATGATTTATTACTTGCTGATGTTCAACTGGACAACAAGTGGAGTAAATGGAAAACTCGAGCATGAAATTCAGAACAATTAATTAATAATTTGAATCAGCAAATTTTTGCACTTCAGAATAATCAACCTATAAATAACCAATATAGAGGAATGGCAGGATACACACCTCCAAATTTTTATGGCTATCCTGATGAGGATTCTGAAGAATTTATTGATTCTTTTCACTCATATCTTGTGGCTGTAGGAATTGATATAACAGCTGGACATGCTCACAGAATTCGAACACATGGTCATTTTGAAACATGTCTCAAAAGTAATGCTAAAGATTGGTATGAAAGAACTCTTCGAAGAAAAAATTGGGAATTGAGAAATTTATTAGATAATACTGGACAAGCTACTTTAGCTTTGGCTCAAGGCCGAACAGCAGTACAACTTGGTGCAAATTTAAGACATGGTGCTGTGGGCCAGGCCGAAAATATTGTTATTCCAACTCATACAGTATTTGATGAAGACTGGTCTTTTGCTGATGGGCGCCCAACAGATCAATTACCCAATGCACCAAATGCTAATACAGGCAATAGTGTAGTTGTAGTTGGAATCATGCTTGGACAAACAATATACTTCTTTAAGACTAACTATTCTACAGTTACTGCAGAAAAACAGCGAATGCTCTTTGGTTCAACAGTCCAAGGCAGTGATTCTGTAGGTAGATTTTATTCTAAGTTACGTAAACTTGCTAGGCTTGCTGGTATTGATGAACAACAAATTCGATTACAATTTATTCGTGGTATCTCTCCTGATAATCAATTAGAAATTCGACGCATTGGAATTAACAAGCCTGTATCTGAATTGCTTACAGAACTTGAAGAAATTGAAAGATATAAGGCAGAGCAATTATCTGGAGCATATTTTACTCCAAAACCTGCTATAGAGCGTCAACAACAATTTTATTCTAATGCAGATATTGACAAGCTTGTAGAAGAATGAATAGCTTCCAGAGAAAAACAAAGTCTTGCCTCAGAGAAGCGCATCTTTGAAGCAAAGCCAAAACAAGTATCTCAAGTTGATCTTAATACTGAAGCAGTTAGACAATTTATAGATATTATGAAGCAAGCTAAAAAAACTTTAAGTAAAAAGCCTGGTCCTGGTAAAGAAAAAGCAGACAAAATTCATATAGATCGATTCTTAAATGACCTTGTAAAAGATGATCCTGATCCTGATCCTAATAGTTTTTATGATGATGATGATCCTATTGAAGATATTCGTAAACAATTAGAAGATCTTCATATCAATCAAACTAAAATTGCTAAAACTATGAAAAAGATTTCTAGCAAGCCTAAATCTTCTGACACAAAACTAAATCAAAATCAAAATCTAAGATCCAAAAAAAGAAATCATCAAGTCGATCAAAGCATGTTAATGCCCATATAATTTCAGATGAATCATCTTCAGAATCTAGTAGTGAAAATGATAATACAACATCTAGCGAAAATGAACTTGAAACTAATACCTTGTCATATTCACAAAGCAAATTAGAATCTTCTGAATCATCTGAAAGTGAGTCTAGTAATTCAGAAAGCGATTCAGATGAATATGAAGTCAATGCTACAAAAAAAAAAATAAGTTTTTCTAATACCAAAAGCTCAAAGAAGCGCAAAAGTGCTAGATCAAAAACTTCTAGTAAAAAATCTAGTAACACTTCTTCTGATAAAAAGAGCAGTAAAGATATTAGGTTACTTAAAATTCCTACAGATAATATTAGCCTAAATGCATTTTTCGCTATTTTACGATCAATGGTTAATTCATTTACTCGTACACAACCTAAAGAAGTATCTATTAATGGATATAATATGATTAATGCCGAATTCATTGCACTAAACGATCCTGTTCTAAATCATTTTACTTCAAATTTCTCAGACAAAGAACGAGAAAAGTTTTGGAATGAAATTACTATGGTATTTTCTCATATTTTACAACCAATATCTGATCTAATTCGAATTGCTGCCCAGCAAGCAAATACACTATCCCAAAAGACTCCAGAAGAGATGCAACCAGAAGCAGAAATTTCATGGCCAAATCCTATAGAAATTAATTTTATTCGTAAAATTATTCCTAATGATATTGCAACTATTACTTGCCAAATTACTTCACCATCAGGAAAAAACATTCAAGTACCTGGTGCATTAATAGATAGTGGAGCAAACTGCTCTCTTAAATCAAAAGGTCTTGCAAAATTATTAGGAATGAATATTGACAAAAATAAAAAACCTTCAGTAAAATGACATAATAATTCTTTAGAATCTATTAGAACTTGTTATAATATACCAATTACTTTTGGCTATAGAGATAATAGTTGTACAATTACAGAAGACTTTCCAGTAATAAATGATGATAAACCTTGGATATTATTAGGCACTCCTTTGCTTGATCATGCTGGATAGGAGCCTATTGTCAAGCGTGAATTCAGGTTAATACATAAAAGTAAAGTAATTACTATACCTCTTTCAGTACATAAGTCTTAGAGAGAGATATTTAAACTGGAAATCAACCTAACTTTTCACAAGCAAGATTCAGTTCAAGTATCTACTAATTCTTTTAGTCCATCTAGTAAGGATAACAATGTATTATTAGAGGAATAGCATGCTTCTGCATGTTTTAGCCCAGATTTTAGTCTATCTAGTGAGGATAATTTCTTGCAAAACAAGTCATTAGATGATGAATCAGAGATTCAAGACTTTACCTCTTCTCCGAATCATGAGCTAGGTCTAGACTCAAAAAGCCAATGCTCTGCAATAAAAAAAAATTAATTAAGACCCAAAGGGTCATTGCCTCACAATATATATCACAAAATCGAGATATTCCTATATAGGAAAAATGTATGAAACACTTTTTCCAGAATATATGTGCTTATGCACCAACTCTGTTGTTAGAATATAATTTACTATCTTTTTCTTCTAACTGATGAATAAGATTATATATAGTACCATTTCGGATTAATTTTTTTAATGTAAGTTCGAGTAATTTTGTACTCCAATTAGCTATATCTATTTTAATTTGATTGCATTCTATATCTTTCTGCTGCTTAATAGTTTTTAAGGTTTCCTCAGTAGATTTAATAAATTCTTGACGTAAATTATCTTTAGCTTCTTTGATTCTAGCATTAACCTCTTCTTTAGAGTATAATGGAGCAATATTAGAGGAAGAATCAGAGATTCGAGATTTTGTCTCTTCTTCGAATTTTGTCTTTTCAG